TTAATGAACACCGTATGCTCAGAGCTTGTCCGAGAGCTTGCGAAAAAAGTCACAAGCTTACTCGGGTGGAACTCGAACCCACGACCTCCTGCTTACTAGTGAAGACGTCTTAACCACTCGACCACCGAGCTTGCCGGGGTCGGCTGGCCGGTCCGAGTCAGGTAAAGCAGCGGGTACCGCGAACTATTTTCAAGATGTATTTTTGCGTTGGGGAGATGTTAATTTATATAACGGGTTTTGATGAAAAGATGTAAATTAACATCTCCCCGAGCAAGCTTGTGACTTTTTTCGCAAGCTCTCGGACAGGCACTGAGCATACAATGTTTATCAATATATACGTTGGGTAAGGGCAAAACCCGTTATATAAAATATATATTCAACTTCTTACTACTTGTTAATGGAACTCGTAGCAGACACGGCATTTCCAAACTGGTCCACGACACTAATGTGAGAGGTGGAGCCACCTTCTTGGACGCCATTACTGCCGAGCTCTCCGTAGTCAGAGGCGTTGGTGAAGGTCACTCCGTCCTCCTGGATCCGTGAGAAGATGCTCCGGGCGTGCTCGTCCGATTGAAGCTTTTCCAAGACCTATAATTTCATGGGTGCACGATAGCGAGAAATTCTTGTTGTTTGCTTTTCATTGCCTTTGTTACATGATGCTTCGAGAACATACTAGGCGAAGCCGACACTGGGCCGGACACACCCTTCCTTAGAGAGAACTTATGCTAAGGGACCTCAGTCTTATAAAAGATTTTTTTTTAAATTACCATGGCTTATTCCAAGCTGTACCTTTTGAAGTTCCAGAGTTTCGACGTCTCCTAAGTACGGCTTCAAGGCGAAAGCAAACTTTGAGGCTTCGACGAACCAGTGATACACCTTTGCCTTGTCGGGGGCAGACTCAAAATCAGCCGAGGACATATTACGATCTGTCGTAATAAAAAAAGGACACCTACTTCCCTCCATTTTAGACCAGAACACTCTCATGCATCTTGTGGAGGTAGAGTGCGTCTTCAAAGGATTAACAATCAGAAAAGTCAGTCTTTGCTTTTTTTTATTTCAAGGCATAGAGGCTACTGGGCATGAAAAAATACATCCCAAAATGGTGAAGACTCACGTTTTACAATGCTAAGAATGAATTGCACCAGGGGCCCACTGGATGGTGACGGAGTTGATAGTACAGTCATCCCCCGGCCGATAGACACAGCCGGTGCCTCCCTCCATTCTGCGCTGTAGCTTTCTAAATCAGCTGCTGTCAAAAACCCACCTTCAAAATGAATCACACATCACTGAGTATTTAGAATACACTCCCCAGGGCTATTTTTGAACACTTTTACAATTGCCAATTTGGTCCGATGGTTGATATGATTCGTGATGTAATGATGGGTGGGATGGAGTCCCGCTATAATATTGCTTAGAGGCCATCGAAGCTTGTTGTTTCTGTCTGAGTCATCCGGAACGATCAATGTGGCAGTTTTACCTCGCTTAAGTGTGAGAAATACAATATGTACACATTTTAATCCGTCCGAAAAATTAATTAATCGCAATAAGATTAATTCGTATGGCCCTGTTACACTCTTCAACGAAGCATGGGCTTCGGAAATGTGGGTTTCACCCGATAACCCCAGTATAATTCTTGGATACGACCTGGACGCTTGCACAAATTAACTCTCTGCTCCTTGTGAATCCTTGAAATACGTTAACTGTAGACGCAGCGTTTTCTGCAGTGCACTTAGTAAGCACATATGTTCGACTAAAGCAGACCATACGATATTAGCGCACCAAATACAGACATACCTCTCTCCTGTACATCCTGGAAAAGCAGGCGGCTGGTTTCCCCGGAGTAGAGTTCGCTGGCTCCGTTCATAGCAATAGCCCGTAACGTTCGGGCTAACCTCGGGGCATAAGCGATGTCCCCCTCCACTTTCCAAAGGGCGGTTGCCGGATCCAAGTACCTGGCCCTTAGCATTACAACGCAAATTTGTTACCTATACAAACGATGTTCATTGGTATTTTTTGAATCACTCATAAGTTTGCAGTGAGTTTTTCATAATGTTTTCCATTTAGATGATCGTCGAAAAACACAAAACTGTTGATTCTTAAAGTTGTTTAATTACATTATAAAGATCAATTATAAGTATCCATTATAAAGATCTTGTAAGATCCCGTGGACCTGCAGGCGTTGCAAAGATTTATTCGACTATTTTGAGAGCCCCTTCGCTAATAGTTGCACGTAAAAGATCAAGAAACTCACGATTGTGAAACAAAATTATGAGCAGTCCTCTCCCAGTCTTTTTCGGCGTTTGCTGCTCTAAACTAAATAAAAAAGTATTTTCAATTTTCCATTTGCCATTATAAAACATCCTTTGTGGTATCGACTGTTATTCATTGTATTTAAAACTGTAGAAACTTACATGAGCCCTTTGTAATGTGGATATCGTGCCAAGTCGGGAATGTACTTGTTCTTGTCAATGAACCGGAATCCCCTTGTTATATGTTCGGTGACCGGGAACCCCTCCTCTGCTAGCTGGATCACGGGCTGAAACAGTTCTCTCCACGGTAGGCAGCCGTAACGCTGGTGCGCTTCCCACATACCGCTTAACTCACCTGGCACAGCTGTATCTGCAAGCGTGTCGAAAGTTTTGGAATAGCCAGCCTTTTACAGTTTTGAATCGTAAATGAAACCTTGCATGCTACAAAGGGTTAAATAATCCTTTTTCCGTTTGATGGTTTTCAGAAGCTTTCCTCAGCTCACTGTGGTATAAGTCGCTTCAATGATATGGCAGCGATGCCCGATGTGTTCCAAATTGCACCAACGGGCCTTTTATTTCGCACGTAGAATGTTCCGTTGCTGATTGGCCCTCTAGGCTCTTAGTGTGGTAACATGAATCCACAGAATTTTATGCAGTCGGGGGCACTGGGTTGAAATACACCCATCCATATTTAAAAGCTTACGACATCAATTCATGTGTCTAAAATAACGGTTCGGCAAACCTCAACCAAACTATGATAAACCATGATAGGCCTACGCCTTTCGGTCCATTTCTCGTCCCCTCTCCCACCACTTCAACTCAGCCAGACTTTTAACCACGATCGTGCAACTCACAACCGACAATACCCCCACCATACATGGACAATGTAACCACAATCGTGCAAATCATAAAGATTCTCTCAAGTCTACAGAAAGCCTCACCACTTCACCACCACCGGTAGCGTAAACCCGGCCGGGGGGTGCGCTGGTATGAGCCCCAAGCTGGATCAAGAGAGGGCGCAGTTTAGTTTTCCTAGCAACCGGGGGCTCCTTTGGTCGGAACTGCACTTCGCTGGTTCACAAATGACCGTAAAATGTTCGCCTTACGGTTGCATTGCTACCAACAACATGAACGCTGCCGACCAACATATGGCCCTTTTCAACTGATGAGGGGGTGCTTCTGCTCAGGGTAGACAGATTGCAGCGGGAACGGAATTTTAATGGCATGAAAATGGCGACGCAAATGAGGCGAAATGAAACTTTGATGAAGGAAAATAATGACTGAAAATATAAACGGGTCTAAATTTTTGCAGCGCCAAAAATGGAACATAACAATGCAAAATATGAATGATGAAAATGCATTAAACAGGAATGGAACTTGTTCTTAACAAATCCAACTGACTAACGAAGACATAATACAAGAGGCCTGATGCAGACTTTTTGGACGGTCCAGTCATGGAGAAAGGGTCCAGTATCATCCTCTTGGCCTGCATGTTTGTATTTACAAAGAGGATTTAAAAGAAAAAAGGCCAAACAGCCTCTGATGTCACATTTTCTACAAACCTAACAGCCGAAAACATGAGGGTGACGTTCGTGATGACTCGCTTCGTGGCTACTACGTTTGTAAATCCGCTGTTTACGCGAGGAAGCTAATGGAACGCACCCTTCCTAGTCATCATCCATCTCAATTTTAACTTATAGTTTCTAGTGTAAGACTACTGGCGAATCTCATGCTCGTGGACCGTTTTGGATACATGGGATATTGCTCAAAAAGCATCTCACGCGTAAGTGGATAAGCCTGTTTGTTTTACGCGGATCCCGATCACGATCAGTGATCCAACGCTGGTTCTAGCTCTGCTAGATGAATATATGAATAATTTACCTGTCGTTTCATGTAACCTAAAATTGAATTTGCAATTCTGTCTGATTTCGAGAGTTATGCCATTGTCGGTAGAAAGGGACAATAAAATATGAAATGTTCTCCAGTTTTCCTGAGCATGCCACCTATCATAGCATTCTTTTTAAGACTCTAAAAAATGTCACTACGGGAATTTCAAGTCATTGCGAATCCGTCACGGCGTCCGCAGCCGGCAACGTCGATCATGCGAGGATAAATGATTGTACCTGTTCACTAGTTTCGGCCAGCGTCAGCATCGCAGCAATAATATCTCGACAAAACTTCTCACACGCGGGTGGCACTTGCATTACAAAATTATTGCGCATGATTTACGGGTAAAGCGGTTTCAATTCAAGAAGATTTTATTTAATTTCACAGAAATTTTGAGGCCCATGAAAGTTCTAACGTTCCAGGGATGTCACGAGGGCAAATGTTTGCGGAGAGCAAAACGACTTAAGAGCCCCAACCAAAAGGTAACTTTCTCCTGGTACCCAAAACTAAACATGTACAATCCAAATTTTATTGCACTGAAGAGAACACCGATGAATCGTTCTTAATTGAACTTACATATTAAAAAAAATTAAGCACGAATCACTATAATTTTTTAAATTTTACTCTAATAGAGCATTAATTTGAGGAATTGGTGACTGGTCTCACCACAGCCGTAAGCATCCGCGTAAACAAAATGTAGTCCATGATTAGGATAATCATATAATTTCCTGTTCAGTTAGAGTAAACTGAAATAAATTTATTATTTAGTTACTTGGTGATTAGTAATAGGTTGTGGACACCGATTTTGGGGTGCGCATCATCCTTATAGTAGTTCAGTGGTGAGGGCATTGGTACTGTGGAAAATCTGTGATGAGCTTGGACCGTGCAATCACATTCGCTACTTTCCCTGTAAGCACGCTTTGTGTGCACTAAAAATATGTTTCATGAGCAGCAAGTGTTTTCTCTTCGTAGAGCACCCCTGCAAGGCCTGGGGGAGAAGATACCAGTTCAGATGGTTAGCAACTGACGAGTGGTATTGCTCTGACTTATCTCGCCTGAGCTTTTATGACCAGCAGTTATCTTTGCGGCTCACCGAGCTCCATTTTTCACAGTATGCGATGTGCGTTGCAGGTGAGTACACACACTGCATTAGTTCCTGGTGCATGAGTAACCTTCACTGTTTTCATTAGCACGATGGTGTGGTTTCCGCTACAGTCGCAATGGCAATGCTCGTTGTAGCACAGCTCATACAATTATACTTTCGCGAACGTTTAAAATTACTAATCCATGAAGGCTACGAATCGTTAATGTATTAAGTACATGGTGTGTTTTTCTGTTGTATCACTTGGACATATGTATAGCTTTGGCAGGTCACGTTCAAAGTAATAGCTCATTTTGTTTGGGGTGTAAACCTGCACTGCCAACATCTGGTGTGCTGATTAATTTGAAGGGCTGCCTAGCTGTTGCGTGTGAATACGTTTATCATAATTGAAAAACAACACACATATCTCTCTGTCTCTCCAGGGGCTTATTATTTGTCTTGGAATTCCTCACTGTCTCGGAAGAAGTCCCTCTTTTTTTGGTGGATGTTGTCCTCACTTTTGAGTACCTAGAAGGCCAATTAATAAAAGCTGGATCTTAAAAGCAAGTGTTCTGCGTCGTCTATTCGTGCACACGCCGGACAATCTATGTGCACGCCCTTGCTTGTTACGTATTAAATGTCACAGGGACTCTCCATCAGCGGATTTCAAAAGTTAAAGGGGAAACTAAGCGCAACTGCAAAGTTTAGAAAAAAAGACACTTATGCACTCACCTAGATATCGATCCACCTTTGTCATATTTACTGTAGCTGCTGCAGGCGCCCTCTCCCGAGCCATCAGAGCATCTGCCTTGCCTGTACTCTTGTGATATATGAGCATAAACATGCCCCCTCCAAGACCGGAGGTGTGAGCGTTTACCACACCCACACAGAGGAGGCTGGTTATGGACGCATCAACAGCACTACCTCCACGTTTAAGGATATCCCTTGAGGTAAGAAATCAGTAATTAAATAAACAGACGAATGAAATATTTTTAACGTTCCCGATTCAACCTCGTCCTCAGGGGTAACTTTATTTTCAAATTTCAGTATTCCCCCGGGTGATAACGTTCGTCCTGTCTCCTATCCTGTCTCGACATTGCAACATGAGGCCAAATGGATGTAATAATTCGTACTGTAGCAAGAGTGAAAACCTGTGACACACTTAAGAATCATCAACATCAAACGAACGTTGATGATTATTACAACTCCCATGCTCCATTGTGATTATTTATTGTGACGCTGCATATTGTTCACATTACAATTCTGATTAAACATAGAGATTGGTTACTCTGTTTTGTACTGGAATGAGCGTTGAGCAAAAACACACACACACACACCCACACACAAAACAAAGTCAGGCACTAGACAGTGGGTCGCATTACGCCAGTTCGTGGGTGTTTTGCAAATGTGAAATACCAGACTTTATTTGTGTAATCTGACAGTAATTCAACCATTAAAACAATTAAGCATTTCAACATGCAATTCAACATAAAATAAAGGAACGCTCGGCTTATAGTTTCCCAAAATTCTGTTTTGGGGTTGTTTTTTCGTGGTTTGAGGGCGATTTATCCAGTCAGAAAGTCTAGTATAGACCATTTTCCTGCGATGTCACAATCGTGCTGGACCGCGATGTGTTGTGATGGTAAGCTACTTATTCAAGAGAAATTTGTCAACCATGCAGCGTTCGCAAGTGCGCTTGCAGGTGGTAGAAATTGCCCGTAGGAATATAAGCGATCACCGTGGCCGCTACGGTCCACACGTGGTGGTATTGTTTACATTCAGTGCAATCCAGTCACGTGGGTGATAAAGGTCTATTGGCAACAGACATATATAGGGTACAGTCCACTAATTCAAGCCCCATTGAAAACAGTGTAAAATCAGCAATGTTCATGGCCCAATAACGTGCACCCCAACATCCCTGAGATTTCTGAACGCAAATGAAATTCTTGTCTGGTCACTCATCTTTCAATTTCTTTTCAATTTTTTGTGGGTTAACCAATTACATTTTTAATTATTCCTACAAAACAAAATCTTCAGATAGGAGATATGTTATACAATCCACCATCCATTGTGTTTTCATTGCGTTAATATCTCTTCATATTAATGACCCAGGCCTCTACTATAACTGCCCACTTGTATTTGATGACTGGAACAAAGATTTGAACGATAAATATTAAATTAAATCTTTGGTGTCATATCAGTGACCGACTGGTGTACTGGCTGAAGGATTTGTTTCCGTCGTGGCTATCCTTTTTGTGATTGGAATTATCGGCTGAATACGTGTTTTGGAATTTGTAGGATGTCAAAATTAATTCAGCAAGTTCAAGTTCCATTTTATTGTTTCCAATTTTACTTTCTCTATTTTCCCCTTTTTGAAAATCTTGGTTCACTTGATTAAACAGCACTTAGCTTCTTCTCTTGACATGACTTTTTCAATTCCAACCTTTTATCGTTCCACAACAAATTTCATTATACTACTGGACATGGATACACTGGTTTCTTACAGCTACCATCGTTTAGGGGACACATCACCATGCGCTCATTTATTTAAAATGGAAATTCCTGACGGCAAGCCGCCATCGTCATTCTAATTACACGGTGCGCTGGGAAGTCGTAAGTTTGCAGTATATCATAGAGGCTGTCAGGCTTTGGACGGCCCCTTTTGTATTTGCAAGTTTCTCAATGGGAATCTTCCACATTTTTGTCCGAACTGCGACGTCATTCGTTGGACCATTGACCCTCTACCGTTAATGTAGACTGCCCATCTTCCAAGACCGTTCCATTCTGAGCGTAGGGGGCACTGAGGTCGTTTCAGTTTTCAACTTGTCCACTTTTGGACCACCCCGTCGTCGTCAAAGTAAAATCCCAATTTCTGCTAGCAGAAAATTGGGTTTTATGAAAAGGGGTGGTGCAACTTCAAAAACCCGAAAATCTACCAGCAGAAAATGAGAAAATGGGGTTTTCTTCTTTTGGAGCATCAAATAAAATTTGTTAGTGTGAATTTGAAGGTTTTTAGTTGTCCACTTTTGACGCGCCACGAGAGTTGATTAAAGTAAAATCCAAATTTTTGCTAGTGGAAAATTGTGCTTTTTGAAAATGCTATACGCAAAGTTCAAAATCCCGAAAATCTACTAGCAGAAAATGAGAAAATGGGGTTGTCCACTTTTGACGCTCCATATATGACACATAGTGAGTCCTGGTCATCCACTGCAGCCTGGCAGTCTCCAATCGTAACGGTTCCTCGTGCCATTGGATTAAGGCTTACCAGGCCGAGAGAGTGGGATTACCCCCGTGCAACAATTCTCCCACTATAAACATTCACGCACAGGTCAGTTATGCAACTCATTGATTGATATGATTGATCGATCGTCGTCCCTTCCAAAGTCCTGCGGCGATGGGCGACTGGCGAAGGCAACTGATGTTTGGTGAGTACTGGCAGTTGCTCGTCACAAACCCGCACGCAGGCGGCCCATGGAGAGTGGTCGCTCTTCTCCTGAACTTTGAGGGCAACCAAGAGAGCTCAGCAGCACTGTGGGCGACTGGGCAGCCTTTTTAGGGTAGTACTGCCCACCCTCGCATGACGGAGGGGGTTAGAAAAGGTACCCCGAACAAATGCCTTGCCCTCCCAAAGTCTGGTCAGCTTACCGCGGTTGACAGTCTCATCCTGTCAGCGGTCAGAACATATTAAATAAAATGAAACGAAAACTCATCATGGGAGCGTGGAATGTCAGAACGCTCCTCAACCGAGCCAACACAAGCAGACCTGGGAGAAGATCAGCGCTAGTAGCCAGGGAACTCCAGCGCTACCGTGTCGATATCGCTTCACTCAGCAAGACTCGCTTTGCTGACGAGGGATCCCTGAAGGAAGAGGTAGGTGGATACACCTTCTTTTGGAAAGGGAAACCGCAAGTTGAAGACAGGATCCATGGAGTAGGTTCCCCATAAGGTCGACGCTTTTGAAGAATGTTCCTGCACTTCCAGTTGGGATTAGTGAACGACTCATTAAACTTCGCATCCCCCTCAGTAAGAACAGGAATCTTACTATGATTGCCGTCTACGCACCCACACTCACAAGTCCAGATAACGCCAAAGATGTGCTATACCAGCTCCTCGACGAGACAACCAAAATTAGCCCCAAAGCCACAAAGCTCATCATTCTTGGGGATGTTAATGCGCGAGTGGGCAGTGACTATGGCAGCTGGGAGAGAGTCCTCGGGCGCCATGGAGTGGGCAACGTCAATGACAATGGTCTGCTCCTCCTCAGCAAACGTGCGGAACATGGTTTGTGCATCACCAACACCTTGTTTAGGATGGCAGAAAATACAAAACCACGTGGATGCAACCAAGGTCAAAGTATTGGCACATGATAGATTTTGTGATTGTACGCCAACGGGACATCAGGGACGTCCGCGTGACCCGTGCCATGAGAGGTGCTGAATGCTGGACGGACCACAGACTGGTAAGAGCCATCATGAATTTGCACATCCCACCGCCACACAAAAATAAGTCGAAGGCTATCAGAGCCTCCTGTAACTTCACCAAGTTCCAACACTCTAAAATCTTCAGGAGGGCCTTCCCTCTGACAGTGATGGCATCAGGAAATGGTCAGTCTTCAAGACCATCATCACTGAGACGGCGAAGGAGGTGCTTGGTCCAAAAATAAGGACTCACCAAGACTGGTTCGATGAGAATGATGAAAACATCAAAACCATCCTCTCTGCCAAAAATAGCGCCTTCACAGAGTGGCAAAACGATTCCACCTCAATAGCAAAAAGAGCAAAGTTTAAGTCCCTCCAGGCGAAGGTACAGACTGAACTGCCCTTCGACCTCGGGTTGTTCACCACTGCTGTCCTCAGATGGCACAACCCTGATTAAGGATCAGGCGGGGCTCCAAGAACGCTGCAAGGAACACTTCAGCACCCTGCTCAACAGACCATCATCTGTGGACCAGGACGTGCTCCACCTGATCCCAAACAAGCCTGTCATGGAGGAACTCGACTCTCCCCCTACGATGGCCGAGATCAAGAAAGCAATCCACCAGACTAGCTCCGGAAGAGCGCCAGGGAAGGACAACATACCTGCAGAGATCTACAAAGCAGCAGGTCCCAATGTACTTGAGGCCTTTCACAACATTCTGCATATTGCCATCCTCAATAGACTGGTCATCGTCTCCGAGCAAATTCTCCCTGATGCGCAGTGTGGCTTTAGACCTGCCAGAAGCACAGTGAACATGATATTTGCCGTGAGACGACTGCAAGAAAAGTGTTTAGAACAGAATAAGCCACTCTACTTAGTATTCATCGACCTGACCAAGGCGTTCGACACGGTCAACAGAGAAGCCCTCTGGACCGTGCTCGAACACGTTGGATGTCCCATGAAGTTCACCAAAATTATACGGCTCTTCCATGACGGCATGACTGGTCAAGTCCTCACCAGCGGCAAAGTGACTGAAGAGTTTGCAATCAGCAATGGTGTAAAAGAGGGCTGCGTTCTGGCGCCAGTCCTGCTCAACATCTTTTTTACCCAAATGCTGTCCCATGCCGTCCGATACCTGGAAAAGGGAGTCTTCATCCGTTGTCGTCTGGATGGTTCCCTTTTCAATCTCCGTCGCTTCACTGCCAAAACCAGGTGCCGCTACGACCTCTTTCAGGATGCACTGTTTTCCGATGACTGCGCACTGTTGGCCCACACTGCCTCTGACCTGCAGCTCATGCTGGACCGCTTCTCAGAGACCTCTAAGTTGTTTGGCCTGACAATCAGTCTCAGCAAGACCAAAGTGCTCCACCGGCCTGCTCCTAACGACGACTCTCCTCCTCCAACCATCACCGTCGACGGCACCCAGCTCTCCAATGTCCAGAGTTTCAAGTATCTAGGCAGCACCATGTCAGACGATGGCTCCCTCGACAAGGAAATAGACACCCGCATCAGTAAAGCAAGTCAAGCG